ACAAAATCAGTCAAGTGCCGGGAAAACTCAAATTAAGTTAAACAGACAAACAAGAGACAAACAACAAAATGAGTTGTGCAAGAAGCTAAAGACAAACCACTTCCACCCATAATGGGAGGAAGAATATTTTGTGATGTCACATTCAAAGATTATTTGCCTTATTTGTAAAGCAAGCCTCGCTCTGCCAAAGAAAGGTAACGTGGAGGCATTATCGGAGTGTTCACAAGGCATATGACAGCGACTTCCCTCCGAGTTGAGAAAGAGAAAGGTCATGTATTATTGCTACACAAACATTATCTCGCAGTCTTAGTGTCGCCAACTCGTTTCTAACATGCAAAAAGACAAAACAAATGCGTCTATGTTCGGTGTATTTTTGATCTTTCCAATCGAGACGAGATCTCTCCCCCGTCTGTGCGCGAGGGGGCGGGGCAGTTTACACACACGCGGCTGCTCCATGCAGCAACACACGGAGGAGATGGCGGAGAGAAGCGCTCCAAGGTGTGGTTAAATGTTACCCGTCTTGAGGTGGACAATGCTCCTTGCCAAGAGTGTTTAGCATGTAAGGGCGGTAACACGAGCAATTTGTCTAAACATTTAACAAAAGTGCACCAAATTCAGACGGAGGAATGCACCGGGTTCGACTGTCTTTCTAGTAGCTCTGTAACCCCCCCCCCATCCACGAGGAACGTTTCCACGTCAGGTGTTATGCTAGCAGCAACACACAGAGTTAACTCAATGATACAAACATGGGTTAATGATTAGAGGAAACTGAGTTAGTTATTTTGTTAAAGTTTCAGCTATTCTGTCATCAGATTATTTAATACGATTTGTTAAAACATTGTTGTTTCTTTTGATGTGAAATATTATTTATTTAATTTAAATAAAAAGCAATGTTAATTTTGTAAACAATTTGTTAAGTTAATTTAATAATATATGTATTTTTGAATCAAGTATTCATCTTTATTGTCTTGTTAGTTTCCACATGCCTAAAACAACCTCAAGCTAAATCTAAAAGTTGATGGCTAAATAAGAGCGTTTGAGAAATTGTGCAAGGCATACAGTAATAGTCCGAATAGTCCAGGGGTGGCCAACCCGCGGCTCTCGAGCCGCATGCGGCTCTTTGCCTAGTTTCATGCGGCTCTTCAGTTCATATCGAATTGTATATGTGTGAGTTTGGGGGAGAGACACTGACTCCTGACTAGTGTTGCACGGTGTACCGATACTTGAAAGGTATACCGCGATACCCTGTCGTTAAAAACGTTACGATTCCTCCGTTTCATTAGTATCGGTACTTTAAGAATGACGGGGGAAAGTACTCCGGTGAGAAAGCGCCGTTTTAATAAGAGCCGTGTGTGTTCAGCGCTCTGCTTCCACTCCCTGCACTGCAGCCGTGCCTGCAGTCCCGCCCCTCTCAAGCACGTTCTAAGTCCCTCCCCTCTCAAGCACGCTCTAAGTCCCGCCCCTCTCAAGCACGCTCTAAGTCCCTCCCCTTTCTCGTGCACGCGCTAGCTGCCAGAGCATGTGAGAAAACGAGAAGCATGGCTGCCAGTGGGAGTGCAGCTGCCGCTGTGCCTCGGCTTGTTGACAAAAAAGACGCCAGAAGCGAAATTTGGAAGTATTTGAGCGATATCTCTGACAGTGAGGGCAAGCCTACGGACACCACGAGGCCTGTCTGTAAGAAATGTATTAATTGTATTTAATAGGAAATCTTGTCATTTATTTAATTTATTGTTCTCATTGTTTAAAAGTTTGTGTTATGGTTCTGGTTCTGGTGTGAAATAAAGCACAATAATTACATTTAAGACTGTTTTTTAAGAAAAGTATCGAAAAATAATCGGAATCGCAATTCTTGACTTGGTATCGAAACCAAAATGTTGGTATCGTGACAACACTAGCTACTCCTGACAGTTAAACCTGATATTTAGTAGGTCTGTTAAGTATTAACGTAATTTGGCCGGTCAAAGTTGTTTGGGCTCGGATAAAATCGCTCCGTTACTTTCGTCCCGGCTCTCCCTACGTTTTGATGTGGCCCAAGAGCCAATCACAATAATACCTGCGATGCAGTGAACCAATCACCTTTGAGGGGGGGAAACCTATCGTTGATTAAACACTATCCAGTGTTTCCCCTACCATTGTTTTGGAGGGGCGCTGCGCCCCGCCAACGGAGCCCCGCCCCCCCCCTGAAATTCAAGGTGTTTAAAAAATATATATAATCTTTTTTTTAAAATATATATAGCACCAAATTGCAAATAATCTATAACTACTGTCACTTTTCACATTGAACATGTGCTCTTTTATTAAATAAACTAAACGCTTTCATTTTAAGTTGTGAATTTAGTGTTTTTGACCCTAAGAAACACTGATGCATTAATCAATAACAATAATCCACAGCTCCTCTCTCTGCTCCAGAGGATTTAAAAAATATATATCCCAATGCCACAAAAATGCATCAGTGACGTGGTTGAAATCTTGTCTCCAGAAAACAAAAAAACGGAAACAAGCGGTATCAGTGCCTGTGTGTTTGATGTGGCTCTTTGCAGTAACATAGAAAAAATGTGGCTCTTAACCTCTGACTGGTTGGCCACCCCTGGAATAGTCGATTAATCGTTTCATTAATCGATAGATTAATCGATTATCAAATTAGTCGTTTGTTGCAGCCCTATTGTAGTTATCCCATGTATAAATAAAACGTGTTATTCAGCAACCCTTGCAATTTGGGATTTTATTTGTGTGTGTGTGTGTGTGTGTGTGTGTGTGTGTGTGTGTGTGTGTGTGTGTGTGTGTGTGTGTGTGTGTGTGTGTGTGTGTGTGTGTGGTGTGTGTGTGTGTGTGTGTGTGTGTGTGTGTGTGTGTGTGTGTGTGTGTGTGTGTGTGTGTGTGTGTGTGTGTGTGTGTGTGTGTGTGTGTGTGTGTGTGTGTGTGTGTGTGTGTGTGTGTGTGTGTGTGTGTGTGTGTGTGTGTGTGTGTGTGTGTGTGTGTGTGTGTGTGTGTGTGTGTGTGTGTGTGTGTGTGTGTGTGTGTGTGTGTGTGTGTGTGTGTGTGTGGCGATGTTGTTTGTGTTGTGGGGAGAAAGGAAGGCTCTGTTTGGGTGGTGGTGCAGGGGGGGGTGGAGTAAGAATCAGACCCAAGTATAGGCTGTCTCGGCACAGTAACTCTCCCACCCATCGACTCTCTCTCCCCCCTCGGTTCCGCTCCAGCTCTCCCACCTGCTTTCATTCGGAGTTAGCGGACCAGGGCGGGAAAATGTAGATGGTCTCAAAATGGAGGAGCAGAGCATGACATCAAAGAGTTTGAGGAAAGTTTAAGGAGAGTGAGCGAGGGTCCCTCCAAACTGGAAATTATGCAATCACTAAAACCAAATATCTTTGAGTCTCAGACATCTTTGCTGTTACCCAATCTTTGGTGGACAAAATGTACATTCTTGGTACCACTTTCTAATATACTCCTAAGTAATAAACATATGTAACAGTGAGTGCATCGAGTCCACAGAGCAGCACATCTCCTTCAATCCTCTCTCAGACAGGCAGTGTGTTCAGAACCTATAGCAGCGGTTGTTTACCCAAGCTGCTCGGGCTGTGGACTACAAAGACCTGAGAGAAGAAAGAAGTCGAACCACCACGGTCTGTCAGATCCAGCCGGAGACGCCCGAGGAAAGTTTCAGGATCTGAAGTCTCAGCGTGGCTAACTGTGTCACACGGCTGCATGACCACGTTAACAAGACGCCAGCAAGAGGGACACCAAAAAAAACAAGAAGATGATTCTGCAGTCAGCCTGTGGACAGACTTCAAAGTCCTGCACATATTTGGGATCTCCATGCTGAGAACTCACCTTTCAAGCAATTGAAGTGGCAGGATTTCCACTCCAGGAACACCTCGGGATATGTCTGATTTCAGCCTTTGTGCCCACATTTCTATTTGTATCCAGACAGAACATTTAAATTAGAATCCATGATAGAAAATATATAACAGCAGACCCTTTGAGCCGGATGGTTTCTGCTCCGCCAGCAGGAAAGTAGGCCATGGGCTTCAGAGACAGTGAAGGAGGCATGATGTAACCAGGGACCTATACAGTGTGTGTGTGTGTGTGTGTGTGTGTGTGTGTGTGTGTGTGTGTGTGTGTGTGTGTGTGTGTGTGTGTGTGTGTGTGTGTGTGTGTGTGTGTGTGTGTGTGTGTGTGTGTGTGTGTGTGTGTGTGTGTGTGTGTGTGTGTGTGTGTGTGTGTGTGTGTGTGTGTGTGTGTGTGTGTGTGTGTGTGTGTGTGTGTGTGTGTGTGTGTGTGTGTGTGTGTGTGTGCCTCAGAGCTTTGCAGCAGTATTCCCAAACATGTGAATATAGGTTCTAATTTGCATTTCATTTGAAATAATTGTTCTCTTTGACATATTTCCTGCCGCTTTCTCTCCCATATTTGATATTACTCTTGACGTTAATTAAGCGGCCTGGCTTCCCACAGGCCTCTGGTGAAGGCTATTTTTGTCCCTGCGCTCCATCGCTGTGTTGCAGCACAAACTGTGCGTCTCAGCCGCTTTCTGTCACCGTGATGCGATGATGCGTGTGAAACACAACGAGCCGTCACACGGAGCATCGGACATTACACAGACTTTGAAATAGGCATGGTAAAGTTTATTTTATTGTCCTTTTGCATAATTATTCTCGTTCTGTCATGCATCTCCTTCAAGGTAAAGTCTAGACGATTTCAAGGTTGAAGGGCATGTGATTCATAGAGCGTTTTAATTCATGTAAAAGCTTCTCAGGGAAATGGCACCGAGTCAAGACATCGTGTTATTAATGGCATTTAACACCTTAAAAAGTCAAACCGTTTTGATGATTGGGAGACATTTTAGCCTTGGCAGAACATGTACGTGCACAGGAACCCACAACACTACAGGAGAGGGGACACCACAACAAGCGTAACAAGGCTCTTTGAAATAAGTTTCTCTGATATTGCTGAAACGTTGTCTAAATGCAGATAACCTCACTCTCTCTTCTCCTTATCTCTTCCAGTCTCCCAGTCCAACAGCAGCCTAAAGAAGCATCGCAGCCGGAGCATCTTCAGCCCCTTCTTCTGCTGCTTCCGAAACTACAATGACTACCACGCGGACCCCCCACCCTCCAACAACAAGACCCTGTCCTTGCCCCCGACGCCCGAGGAGAACGGCAGTCCTCCCAAGGTGAAGCGCCGTGTATTACTTGATGTTTTATGACAGCAGAGATCCAGTGATTTGCTTGAGAGCTTGTTAGGGGTTTGCTTTCTCCTCCAGAGAGCTGAGGCTGAGCTCCCTCCACAACATTTTTTCCAGCTGCTTCAAACCCGATGAACCGAGAGCTTGTTTACCATCGGCTGCTTGAAAAATACGGGCTGGCTTCCCATCTCGCATTCTTCGATATCTGCCCACGCACACACACTGTAGACACACTCGCTCTTACCATGACAACACTTGTACTGCTTTTAATCCCCCATAAAGTGGGCCCTGTGTCTGTGAGTGTGTGTATGTGTGTGTGTGTGTGTTTTGGATGGATTGCCGGGCACCTACGCCTCCCCCTCTCCTCACACACACTCTGACCAGTGTAGTGAGGATGTGTGAAACGGGAAAAGGCGCCAAAAGCCTCCGCAAACACATCGCTCTGAAGGTACAGAGGGCTATAAATGGAGCACATTTCCACTACCTGTAAACAGTGGGATGAAGTAACCAAGTAGATTTACTCAAGTACTGTACTTAAGTACAATTTTGAGAAACTCGTTCTTCTACTCCTCTACAATTCAGAGGTAAATGGTGTACTTTTCCTCCCCTACATGTATTTAATACCTTCAGTTACTTCACAGATCTGGATGAATGATGTGAAATCTAATCAAGTGTTAAATCAGACTTTAGTTCCACCTGGAGTAAATCCACCAGCTACCCTGCAGAATACAAAGCCATTCAAACTAGCTGCACCTTTACCAGCTTTGAGAACACTTTCATGATCAATCATTATAAAACATATCATATATATTATTCTGAAATGGACCAATCTGCACAATGACTACTTTTACTGTCGCTACTTTAACTATATTTTGATGAGAATACTTTTCTACTTTTAATTGAGGAACATTTTGAATACAGGACTTTTACTGTGACAGAGTATTCCTACACTCTGGTACTTCTACTTTTACTCAAGTACAAGATCTGAGTACTTCTACTTTTACTCAAGTACAAGATCTGAGTACTTCTACTTTTACTCAAGAACAAGATCTGAGTACTTCTACTTTTACTCAAGATCAAGATCTGGGTACTTCTACTTTTCCTCAAGCACAAGATCTGAGTACTTCTACTTTTACTCAAGCACAAGATCTGAGTACTTCTACTTTTACTCAAGTACAAGATCTGAGTACTTCTACTTTTACTCAAGTACAAGATCTGAGTACTTCTACTTTTACTCAAGTACAAGATCTGAGTACTTCTACTTTTACTCAAGTACAAGATCTGAGTACTTCTACTTTTACTCAAGTACAAGATCTGAGTACTTCTACTTTTCCTCAAGCACAAGATCTGAGTACTTCTACTTTTACTCAAGCACAATATCTGAGTACTTATACTTTTACTCAAGTACAAGATCTGAGTACTTCTACTTTTCCTCAAGCACAAGATCTGAGTACTTCTACTTTTACTCAAGAACAAAATCTGAGTACTTCTACTTTTACTCAAGCACAAGATCTGAGTACTTCTACTTTTACTCAAGCACAAGATCTGAGTACTTCTACTTTTACTCAAGAACAAAATCTGAGTACTTCTACTTTTACTCAAGCACAAGATCTGAGTACTTCTACTTTTCCTCAAGCACAAGATCTGAGTACTTCTACTTTTACTCAAGTACAAGATCTGAGTACTTCTACTTTTACTCAAGTACAAGATCTGAGTACTTCTACTTTTCCTCAAGCACAAGATCTGAGTACTTCTACTTTTACTCAAGCACAATATCTGAGTACTTATACTTTTACTCAAGTACAAGATCTGAGTACTTCTACTTTTCCTCAAGCACAAGATCTGAGTACTTCTACTTTTACTCAAGAACAAAATCTGAGTACTTCTACTTTTACTCAAGCACAAGATCTGAGTACTTCTACTTTTACTCAAGAACAAAATCTGAGTACTTCTACTTTTCCTCAAGCACAGATCTGAGTACTTCTTTAATATCTGAGTACTTATACTTTTACTCAAGTACAAGATCTGAGTACTTCTACTTTTCCTCAAGCACAAAATCTGAGTACTTCTACTTTTACTCAAGCACAAGCTCTGAGTACTTCTACTTTTACTCAAGAACAAAATCTGAGTACTTCTACTTTTACTCAAGCACAAGATCTGAGTACTTCTACTTTTACTCAAGCACAAGATCTGAGTACTTCTACTTTTACTCAAGAACAAAATCTGAGTACTTATACTTTTACTCAAGCACAAGATCTGAGTACTTCTACTTTTCCTCAAGCACAAGATCTGAGTACTTCTACTTTTACTCAAGTACAAGATCTGAGTACTTCTACTTTACTCAAGTACAAGATCTGAGTACTTCTACTTTTCCTCAAGCACAAGATCTGAGTACTTCTACTTTTACTCAAGCACAATATCTGAGTACTTATACTTTTACTCAAGTACAAGATCTGAGTACTTCTACTTTTCCTCAAGCACAAGATCTGAGTACTTCTACTTTTACTCAAGAACAAAATCTGAGTACTTCTACTTTTACTCAAGCACAAGATCTGAGTACTTCTACTTTTACTCAAGAACAAAATCTGAGTACTTCTACTTTTCCTCAAGCACAAGATCTGAGTACTTCTACTTTTACTCAAGCACAAGATCTGAGTACTTCTACTTTTACTCAAGAACAAAATCTGAGTACTTCTACTCTTACTCAAGAAAAAAATCTGAGTACTTCTACTTTTCCTCAAGCACAAGATCTGAGTACTTCTACTTTTACTCAAGCACAAGATCTGAGTACTTCTACTTTTACTCAAGAACAAAATCTGAGTACTTCTACTTTTACTCAAGCACAAGATCTGAGTACTTCTACTTTTCCTCAAGCACAAAATCTGAGTACTTCTACTTTTCCTCAAGCACAAGATGAGCTCCATTAATTCAGAGTGAACCTAGCGAACCTCTCCATAAAAAGCCTTGTTACTGTGAAGTTGGCCCGGCTCCCAGCAGTGTACTGTTTCTGGATTTCTGGCCAGCCGTGTTTGTTACTATGGCAGCTATGTTTGTTTTTCAGCAACTCGTTCTCACTTTCTCTCCCTCTGCGTCTCTTTTCTTTCTGCCTGCACATTTGATCAGAATATAGATGTTTTTTCATTCCTTTTTCTGTTTTCTCCACCCAATATTTCCCTCCCTTTTCTCTCTGTGTGTTTTCTCCAGTGTGACCAGGTCCAGGTCATCCCCCTCCCCGGTGTATGTATTATTATTATCTTTCGTTCTTCTTCATCTCGCTGTGCTTCATCATGTGTAGCAGCATGTGGTGTTGGCACAATGGTGATTTCTCTTTGTGCCATCTTTCTGCAGCAATCAAAACCCATTTATTATCATATGATGTATCTGTGCCTTTGTGTTTGTGGTCATTTCTCCCTGGAACAGAACATTGATTTGTTTCCTTATTAGATTAAATTCATTAACCGCTGCAGAACGGCTCTAAAAACACTTGATTAAATGAAGTATTACATTGTGATTATGCACTAAATGAAGTCCTGTCTGTCCATCAGAAGGGCGGCTCCAATGATTTGTACTCTATCGGTTATTTTCTCTCTTTGTTTGTGCTGAAGCTGCGATTCATTTAGCTGTTTTGGAATCTGCGCGGTTGCCTGTGGTTCACTGTAATTTAGGATATTCACACTCTCAGTATGCCGCATCGCAGCCAAGCTTTAAACTACACCTCCCAGCAGACAGGAAGTGCATGTGGCGAGGAGGTCTGCTCTTAGTGTTCAGGGTCAGAGGACTGAGGAGACTCAAATACCTCGAACAGCCATGGAAAAAAACACGTCTGTGTGTTTATTATAACAGAGGGTTAAAAACAACACAGAAGCGGACAAACAAGACATCTCTGTCGCTGTTGTTTTGTTGTCTCACTGCAAAAATATCATCAATACCACGTCGAATAGCACCAAAAACAGAAATATAGACACTCCTTCCCTGCTTAGCATTCATCTATATCCTCAAATTAAATCCCCATATTAAATACAGAGCTAAATCCCAGGTCAAATGTATGTTAAAGAGTCTTGAACATAAAATGTAAGGGTGTAATGAACACCTATTTGTTAAATTAGATTACTCCGATTCCTAATATACTGCCCATATAATCCCTGAATCTCAATGACACTTAGAAATGGGATAGAAATGTTTTCCATATTCTTTCATGATGAGAATTTTAGAAAAACACACAAAATAAACTAGCATTGAAACATACAATATGGATTGCTTGCTTTTGTCCTGGTTTCGAAGTAGACAAAGGTGTTTTCCAGCATCTGTGTTTTAAATGTGTCTGCTTCAAGGTGATCAATTAAATGATTTCCAATCAGTAGGTTTGGTGCTCCAGCATAATCACTTTGGGATAGCGCCCCCTGGCTGCAGGTGAAGGTCTCATTTATCACGGTGAAAATGTCAAGGTCTCGGTCATTCTCTCTCTGCTCAACCAGCATGTGTAAATCAGATTCATCACGGACCTGACGGGGCATCCTTCATTGACCTTGCTCACGGGGAATTCTTCCCATGATGCATCAGTGTGCAGTCCCGGGATAAGACATGATAAATACAGTCCATGCAAAAATGCAGATACATGCAGAAAATGGCTAACAGCACATTAATGAGCGTAGGTGAGAGTCCTTGCTCTTCACCTCTATTTAGGTGTGTGTGTGTGTGTGTGCCCCCCCCCATGGCAGCACCATCTGCCTGTCTCACTGTAACAGACTGCTTGGCAGAGGACACAAGTGTGACTCAAGTTAAATATGTTTAGATTTAAGGCTTTTGGTGAGTTTAAAACCAATTTGAAGGCGTACATTTGTAATAGATGTTATTATATAGACTTAAAGGTGGGGTAGGTAATTTTGGAGAAACCAGCTCGAGTGCGCTAGAATTTGAAAATACACAGCCGGAAGAAATCTGCCACTTCCTTACAGAGCCCCTCCTCCAACACACACGAACGTGCACATGACCAATGAGGGCACGAGATACGTTTGTGCACAGATGGAAGGCTGACAGGCAGGTAGGCCATCCAGTTACTTTAGCCGGGCCGGCTAAAATGATTGGTCGTGCTTTTTACAGTACTACGGGTTCTACAGATGAAATTTTTTAATGGATTTTTTGTCAAAACACTTAGGATGTTAAGAGCATTCCATGGAATATAACAAAAAGTGTATCTCGAGCCGGTTTCTCAAACTTACCTACCCCACCTTTAATGATTGATGAGCAGACTGTTAATGCAGGACTATTACAATAAAGTACCTATCTATCTATCTATATATCTATTATCTATCTAACTGCATGGTGTTCGTCGTCCCTGTAGTCAGCTTTTGTAGATTTGACCCACCTCGAGTGGCCTTAATCATAATTCACAACTTATGAATGATCTGGCATTTTGAACAACAAATGCTTTACTGATAAAGTCATTATAATTTGTGGATAGATTCTTGTAGATAAACAAATACCTCGCCCCCTTTCTATAGCTAATTTATTCTGTTAAATGTTTATTAAGTGATTCCCCCGAGGCATCTCCCACACTGAGCCATCATCACACCCTCAGTAGGAGTGTGTGTGTGAGCGTAATTTGCAATATGTTCCCGCTAATGAACCTCTGTTTACACACTATATTAAAACCTGTGTGTGTGTGTGTGTCTGCAGCCTCCAGCCAAGCCCCTGCTGCCGGAGGTCAGTAAAGCTGACTACGGCAAAAACTGTGTGGTGATCGACCTCGATGAGACCCTGGTCCACAGCTCCTTCAAGGTATTTCACCACTCACACACACACATAAACACACACTTTGAGTTAACAGGCTCTCGTGGTTTTAGTCGTGTCGTGCTGTTATTCCACACCCTGAGAGGGATAATAGGATTATACAGAAATAAATCCCGGAGATGCCATCCTTTGCTGTAAATGTGGGTGCGGTGACATCGCAACAATTAGCATGAGGTCTAGCATCACTGAAGTACACACAGGAAAGATGTCGGTAAGCACATTATTGCAACGGTGAAGACACTGTACGTTCAGTATTAGAAAAGCTAGGTTTAAAGAATAGCAGGACCATTTTTAGCAGGATTCCTGATATTTATAAGACAGGTGAAAAATTATAGAGCCATATTTACTCCTCTGCTGACACACCTGGTGACCCACTTCAGCTCTGCCTCACCACCAGCTGATCCTGTGTGTGTTTGTGTGTGTGTGTCTCTTTGTCCTCAGCATGAGAGGTGTGCTACAGCAGCTCAAGGTGAAGCTGAAGTGTGTGAGCACTAGTTTTACCGAGTAGTGAAGGGAAACTATTTGTTTATTGAAATAACTGCAGAGAATCTGCACATGACTGGGAATTCATTTGCTGTGGAAAGTAAAAGGAAGAGAACATTCTACACACACTGCACTGGACCCACCCATTACAGTCACACGTCAGCAGTACAAAGCCACACACACACACACACATACACGGGTGTGTCCCACACTGTTGCCTTGAATGACTGCGGGATGAATTTCGCAGAAGTCCTGGTTCTGATAATCTGAAGGCTTTTTATTTTCCTTCCCCTGACAAAACAAGTCAGAAACTCACACAGAAACCGCCTTTTTTATCCTTTTTGATGAAACTTGGTTGCACACTATATATTTAGCCAGTCAAAATGCATTTAGCTCAGAGATCAGTAGGAAATGGATTCAGGCGAGAGAGAGAGGGAAACGGAAGCGACAAGCACGTTCGCCTTTTCAGTTTCCATTCAAACGCCTGCAGGATTTCCTGTAGATTGTTTATTTCTAGATGTAATTATGAACAAAAGAATCCAAAAAACGACATCTCAGATAAGACCATGAGTGCGGAGAAAGAAGCAGAACTGACAGGGGATATGTCATAGTGCACAGATGGATGTAGACTAAAAATGAGATGTTACATAACACATCACATATGCTTTATCCAGTATGCTATGGATGAAAAGATAATCCCTTGGCCTGCTTCTGGATTAGATGCAGTGTGTGTTGGATGTGTGAAAATGGCTGGATATACAGTATATGATTATAATAAAAGGAAGGGACATTTATTTCACACTCGTCCAACCGCTGAAGCAATGTTACAAAATGTCTCAAGAGGCTTAAGGCTTTATGTTTTCTGCTGTGAGCATTAAACACGACTGATTTTCTTCCAAACAAATCCATTGAAGCACTCGTCATCGCGTAAACATCTGTATGAGATCTCTGATTCTGCGTTGACTCACTCTTGCATCACCAAAACATCTGTTGTACAGTAAAACCATTGTTCCACTGTATCCAGAAATGTGATATGAAACAGATGAAACAGCTGATGAGTGTCGGGTCAAAGTGTGTGTGTTCTTACAGCAAACACCCGCTCTGCTGGGCAGCACTGAACTGTAGCTTTAATGCATTATATTCACACATACAGCACAACCATAAGGCATGTGGGAAGGGTTATATTCAATCACAGCAGGTTTAGAATTAACTTTAAAAAGGCCACGCTTAAATGTATTCAAGTTTAATTCCTTCTGAATCACCTGAAATAGCCTCATTATTCTGTGATGACACATGGTCTGATTTACATTGCATTTAGCTGACGCTTTTATCCAAAGTGACTTACAATAAGTGCATTCGACCAGGAAGACACAACCTTGAAGAAAACAGAATCCTATAAGTACATCAGGTTTCATAGAGCCAAACAAGTGCTACTCTACTGGCTTTAGATAAGCCAGTCCTTTATTAGTATATAAGTGCTCTGTTAGCAGTTCTTTGTTAGTAATTCTATCGCTCGAAGTGGAGTCGAAAGAGATGAGTTTTCAGTCTGGTAGATGTGCAGGCTTTCTGCTGTCCTGATGTCAATGGGGAGCTCATTCCACCATTTTGGAGCCAGGATAGCAAACCCACGTGATTTAAAAACAACAACAAAAAGGGACATTAGCTGTCTGTGCAAACTAACATAACAATGAAAAATATAGAGATAGTATAGACAACCTTATAAATGTCCAGGCAAAATAGATTAAATAGATGAACACAATTTAAATAATTACATGAATAAAAATGTGAAATATGCCGTGGATGAGTAAACGTCATAACTACACCAAACATCTTATATATACATTTTCATTGCATTAAAAGTGTGTATTGTCAGGAATTATAAATACAGGCAGAAGATATTTATTTTAGTAACTAGACTCCAGCTAGTTAAGTCTAACTAAAGCCAAATTAGTTAGTTAGCTAATTTACTGACTATTTCTGACCCGTTTTTCGTAATTGTAAAAATAATCCAGAGGCTCCGACATCTCAATGATTATACATTTTAAAGGTGGGGTAGGTCATTTTGGAGAAACCAGCTCGAGTGCGCTAGAATTTGAAAATACACAGCCGGAACAAATGTGCCACTTCCTTACAGAGCTCCTCCTCCAACACACACGAACGCGCACATGACCAATGAGGGCACGAGATAAGTTTGTGCACAGATGGAAGGCTGACAGGCAGGTAGGCCATCCAGTTACTTTAGCCGGGCCGGCTCAGATCATTGGTCGTGCTTTTTACAGCACCATGGCTTCCACAGATGACATTTTGTTATGGATTTTTTGTCAAAGCATTTCAGATATTCATTGCTATCGGGACGTTAAAGAGTATTCCATGGAATATAACAAAGTGTATCTCGAGCCGGTTTCTGAAACTTACCTACCCCACCGTTCAATAAAGTTGTCGCTAAAGTTGATTTAGTAGTAGTAGGCCTAGTAGTAGTTGTATGCTCATATTGTCCAAACATTTGGTTTTATCTGAAAATAATAAAGCTTTTTGTGAGGGCGAGGTTGAAAAATATTCACCGTGCAATTTAGCTTTAGAGTTTTTAAAGCAGGATTGTAAATGAGTAAAATATATTCTTCTTATCCGTGGATTAATTATAGTATATTCATTTCATTAAATTATACTTCTAGAAAATCCTCTGCTTGTTTTGTGTGCTAAAAACGATCCAAACAGGTGAGAGCAGCTTCTAAAACACATGTTTCTGAGCTTCCTGTCACATCTCTCCCTCTCTCTTCTGGATTTGACACCGGCGTGCCTCCCACCTTTTCCTTTCATCCTTGTCTTTACGCCCTCCACTTCCATCCGCCCACAGCCCTCCGGCATCCATCTCCCTCCTCCACCTCTCGCACCTCTCCTCTCCCCTTTTCTGGTTTTTAAAGATGACACAAGTCGGCACTCTGTTCGTGTTCACGTCTGTCATCGCGCTCAGGTTCCTCCACGGAGTCTCTTCTGGTTTCTATTCAACAACAAAGGAAAGCACATTATGTAAAACCTTCCCAGAGTATTTCACCTTTCTCTATACGTCTTTTATCAGAAATGTGGGCATGCGGTTTAGCTGTTGTCATCTGCAATCTGCCAATTCATATAATCACCGCAATAAACCGTCTTTAATTTCGTCTTAATTTACATTATTTAATTTCATATTCTGTTCTTGTACATTTCATATTCTATAGAGAGGCGAAGTCCCGCGCATCTACTTCCGACCCATGGGACCTTATTTCTGAAAAATTATATATTGAAGTCAATGGAGAGAGAAAGATTATCTTTCGACCCCGTTTGAATTGTGCCACGAATTACACATATGATGTTTGTCAATCTTAAAAGATAATTTCCGTGTCAAAAAAGTCACAGTTTGTCGTAAAACTGTTGAAATATAAGACTATGAAAAATACGCAACTAGAAAGACTACAAATCCCAGAGTCCCGGTGCCGCATGCTGGCTCTCACGGAACCGACTAACTCCCCTTGTGTGTATGCACAGCTCTCAACGTGCCCAGACTTGGAGTGATTTTCTCCTCTTTTAATACTTTCCGCCTCATTCTGAAAGAAAGAAGTGAAATGTTTCAACGTGACGCCGTCTTGGTGTGTGGTGCGAGACGGGAGATGTAGTTCATTGAGCGGTTTCACACAAACAAAAGTGTTGCTTCACAGTATTACGACCAATTATTTATTTTTTTACTTGCAAAATGAATTTTTATGTTGCTAATGCTGTTGTTGTTGTTGTTGTAAATGTCATTTTTTGTTTTGATTTCTCTTACATGACTATGCACTGCAACATTTGTTTGGTTTTTGTAATTATTTATTTTACTTGTTCGAAATAAATGTATCAATCAATCAATCAATCAAAATGATCTTTTAAATTGACAAACATCATATGTGTAATTCGTGGCACAATTCAAACGGGATCGAAAGATAATTTTTCTCTCCCCATTGAATTCAATGCATAACTTTTCCGAAATAAGGTCCCATGGAGCTCCCCGGAAAGGGATGGACTTCGCCTCTCTATATAGACTTTTTGCACTACTTTTCATTTTGTATTTTATTATATATGTTGCATTGTTGCAGGAGCTCAGGTCAGAAGCATTTCATTGCCATTTCTACACTGTAGCTTTGTGCATATGACAATAACACCTTTGAATCTTGAATCTTAGCGGTTTCCCTGGCAAATTGTGCTATTTAGACAATGTTTGAGTCCTTTCTCCTTGTCTTGTCTTCCCGCAGCCCATCAGCAATGCCGACTTCATCGTCCCGGTGGAGATTGATGGCACCGTTCATCAGGTAATGCTGCTCAGATAGGAAGGACTCCCAGAAGTGGACCTAAATAAAACAACATGTATTACTTTGCAAGATCTCCCCTGGAAGCTGTGGCTCCATTTGATTCCCTTTACTATTTTATTATTCTCTCTTATCTAACCGCTAAGAAAGAAGAATTGGGACAGCTCAACACTCCTCTCTAAATGTATTAAATGTATTCTCTGTGTCTTTGCTCGCTGTACAGACAGATGCATGTCAGTAAAGAAGAAACTGATGCACCTGCAGACATGTTGGTTTCCTGTTTTAAGGTGTATTTCCTGCGTCTGGACTGTAGCTGTGACCGGGTTCAAGTAATCCAGGATAGGCTTTCTCTATCTGTTTTGGCCTATTCTTGATTACTTGCACTTGGGGGCAGCAGCTAACCGCTTGAGACCCACTGAAGAGGACGAAGACGAGCAGAAGCAGCAGATATGATCGAGTATAAATGTGTGTGTGGTTTGGTATTGTTTCATGCCGGTCAGATTCTTGCATGTATCTCACTTTCAAAGTCTATACATTTACAGGACTTTTTGCTGTGGATATGACTGCACACAGTTCCTTTATTCCCCTTAGCAACAGTCTGTTCTCCCTTAGCAACGAGCTGTTCTCCCTAGCAACGGTCTGTTAGCGAAAAGTGACAACCTCTGGAATGTCCGAATTGACCAATCAGAATTGAGTAAGGGCTGTAATCATAACTTGTTGCTAGCATACCCCGCTGTCCCAAAGCCTAGCTCTGTTTCCATTCTTATTATTAATGTAAATTATGCTTTATTGTGTTGAGGAAACTCTGTTAGACTGCCAACATTTTTAACTTCATAAGGGTCGAAACATGGAATGTAATTAGTTCAAAAAAGTATTATAAACCATAAATAACAGCTTTTCCCATTAAGTATACTGGGAATCAGTTCATGAGCACTCGGGTGAGACTGATTGGGTAATCTTTCCTGACATGTGATTGTTCTCGGTAATCAACAGTTGTGTTAGTGTTGTGTTCATTTGTGTCTCTGTTCCAGGTGTACGTGCTGAAGAGGCCGCACGTGGACGAGTTCCTCCAGAAGATGGGGGATCTCTTTGAATGCGTCCTCTTCACAGCGAGCTTAGCCAAGGTTCGTGTCGTGGCTTCCTTCCTTGTTTTTCTATCAAGCCACTAGACGCCTTAAACAGACATTTTAAAATTGTTTTATTTCCTTTATATTACTTAAAAGAGTTGCTTGGCCTCCGATGGTTTTTAGATGATGTTATGCGATGTGTTTGCTCAAAATAAAATAACAAACGTTTACACATGCAACAAAGAAAATAAGGCTTATATAACTTAACGGGTAATTGAACGGTTAAAAACTGTACCTCGACGGCGTCTTTCTGACAGGTTGCCCACCACTGTCACTTTCGAGGAGGCGCCGTGCGAATTGTAGTCTTTTATAGTGTGTTGACTACAGACGTCACAATTAGGTGGCCTTTCTTATACGAACTAAATACTGGCTCTAACAGTTCGTTTGTTTGACACTTAAGATGACGAAGAGATTTACACAGATCATATTAACCTGATGTTCTCCTGTCAGTACGCTGACCCTGTGGCGGACCTCCTGGATCAGTGGGGGGGTGTTTCGCGCCCGGCTCTTCAGGGAATCCTGTGTTTTCCACAGAGGAAACTACGTCAAAGACCTCAGCCGGCTGGGCCGAGAGATCAGCAAAGTCATCATCGTAGACAACTCACCTGCCTCCTACATCTTCCACCCTGAGAACGCAGTGAGTGAAACTCCTGTGGTTACTTCTGGAGCATAGTGACATCACTGTGTAACACTCTCGCTTCTATTGCCAACGCTCCAACACATTGCACGTGATTGGCTAAGGGGCGGGACATCTCTAAGCGGTTGACCAATCACAACAGAGACAATCAGAGCAGACTGGGCTCTGGTTTCAGACAGAGGGTGAAAAGAGGTGCTGCAGCTAAAAGAAAGAGATTTTTGAACATTTAAAGGTGGGGTATGTAATTTATTTCAGAAACACTTTTTGTCATATTCCATGGAATGCTCTTAACATCCCGATAGCAATGAATATATCAAATGCTTTGACAATAAATACATACAAAAATGTAATCTGTGGAAGCCGTAGCGCTGTAAATCCCTGCCTGCAGGGGCGCCGCCAGGGATTTTGGGCCCCATGAAGATATCACATTGGGCTCCACCACCAGGCCCAGGCCACGCCAACCAAGCACAATGCTGTAACCACACCTCCAGAACCCAACCGACTCATTTATGCTTTAAATAACTCTGAGCGGTGAACATATAACACTGTGCAGACTGCACATTCTGCTGCAGTGGAATTCACTATTTGATATAACACTAACATTCCTGACAATAGACCTCAATAGTCATCTTTTATGGAGTACATGCCTTTTTAATCACATTTTTGAATGGAACATTCATAAATCTAAATAAATCTAACTTAAATATATACATGACCTCTTAAATGAAAATAAAGTGAACATTAACACCAATATTATCATTTATAAAATGCTAAAACAAAAAAAATAACATAAGCAGCAGATTTTTTAATTAAATATACCAACTACAAAACAAGTGGGTATTAAAGTGTAAACGGACAACAAAACGGAAATGGAAGTGAAAAGGCCTGATGGTGGCGCTAAATCAGAGCCTATTACCTGTTCTCAGTCTTTTTCTCATCATGCATCTTGTGTGTAGTGATCCTCCAATATCGTTACCATAGCCTTGCCCTTTAACAGTTATTACGAGCCCAGGCTCAGCCTTACTCACCAAGAGCCCAGCGCCTAGCCTTCTTATGGCGCGTTTCCACTGCAGCGGGGTAGCCCCGTTTAAGCGTCCCTAAGCGTCCTCGCTCTGGCCTCGGGCTGCCTCGCTGGCCGGCCCAGGCCGTGGCGCATTTCCATTACAGTTTAGGACCTGTGCTAGCAACGCAGTGTAGGCGGGGCGATCGGCTTTGTTTTTGTTCACATTTCGAGTTGTTCCGTCGAGCTCCCGCTGGATTTGATTATCCCCAATGAGAAGTAGGAACGTCGTCACCTCCTCGGTCGACCACGGTGTGCTTTTCTTAGAAGTAGCCATTTTTGTAGCTCCTCCGTTTACAAAATGCTGTGTATAAAAATGCTGCAAGCTTGCTTCTAGATATATATGCGACGCTAGGGATGAACTCGCGCGCGATCTTGTGACGATTCTCTCTGACCAATCAGCAGTCGAGAGTGTTGACGTCACTAGTTCAGCCCTGGCCCTGGTCTGATAGAACCATGATTTTATGGGGCCGGAAAAAGAGGGAAAAAGCACCCGCTGGCCGGTACTAGGCTATATGGAAACGCCACCAAAAACCGGCCTGGCCGCTTGAGGACGGTTAAGGACGCTTAAACGGGGCTACCCGCTGCAGTGGAAACGCGCCATTACAGGCAAAGTCAATGATCAAATCCTTGAAGTCCAGCTTTCTAGCCAACTGGCTTTCAATGGACAGCATGGCAAGACTGCAAAGCATTATGGGGGGACAGGGCTGCTGAGCCTAAATATGGATCTGTTGGTCCTGGCACCAGGGGGAGGGACAACTGATTTAGTATGAATAGCTGCTAAAAATGTACCTGCATTTATTAATTGTCAGCTAAAAGAGGAGTGAAATGAAAAACCTCAGCATTTTCTGTGAAGATATTAACAGTACTTAATGTCAGCAAAACATTACAATTATTATTTACAATGGACTACGCTTAGCTAACAGACTAATTTCCACAAATCATGGACCACACCCACCTTTTCTCTTGAAAAACTGGGTGACATACTGTCGCCCTTTAGTCCCTCTCTCTTGTCTCTCTCTCTTTTCTTTTCTTTCTTGAAAGCCTGACTATGTTAGTCGTTGAGACATGGCACACACGTAAGTACTAGCATCCCTCCTCACATGCTCTCACTCTCTGCCAGAAAGTGCGGTGCCGCACAGCGTTTGGAGGCAGGACCAAACCATTACATGTAAATAGAGGCTTTGGATAATTAACTTTTGGAAGAAAAAAAGTGAAATTAATCATAAGTTTAGTGAGTACATTATCAATATAACGTTATATTAATGTTAATTGTTGATGAAAGGTTACTTAAACATTTTTTCTTAATGTTCTAACAAATGTTGGGGCCCCTGTCAGTCACGGGCCCTTAGAATCGTCCTAACTTTTCACCCCCTTACGTCGCCCCTGCCCGCCTGTCAGCCTTCCATCTCGTGCACAAACTTATCTCGTGCCCTCATTGGTCATGTGCGCGTTCGTGTGTGTTGGAGGAGGGGCTCTGTGAGGAAGTCTGAAGGAAGAGGCAGATTTTTTTTCAGCTGTGTAGTTTCAAATTCTAGCGCATTCTAGCTGGTTTCTTCAAAATGACATACCCCACCTTTAAGCATGCAACATGTCACAGTATAGACACTACATGAGAATTAGCATAATATGCCCTCTTTTAAGTTAGCTAATGATGGTGAACTTTATATCTGCGTGTCGTTGTCAGTTTTATTCAGAACTGTTGTTTTAGGAACAGCTCGGAGCCGCAGGCAGTGTTCCCAGTTTTATGAGATTTCTCTCCTCTGTGGGGAAGTTTCTCAGTGGAGCTGCTGCCACTCTTCGTGCCTTTGATGCAGTTTCCTCATTAATTATGTACCCAAAACTCGCACCATCTCCTCACCTATAAAGCAGCAGCTGAGTTTATTCCCTTCAAACTAATAAAATGTGTGTTCCTCTCCGCAGGTCCCAGTGCAGTCGTGGTTTGACGACTTGACGGACACGGAGCTGCTGGACCTGATTCCTCAGTTTGAGGGTTTAGCAAAGGAGGAGGACGTTTACAGTTTGTTACAGAGCGTGAGGAACAGGTAGCAGACGGCAGATCTAGCTGGACTTTCAATCCTCGGCTACTCTCCTCTTATTGTGGCTCTGAATCTGAGGACTTCATGCGCTCTTTCCACTGAAATCAAGACACAGCCGCTGTAGGGAGTCTCTCCATCTCTGGATCCTTTGTACAGGACTGACAAAAGATGATATCACTGTATGTACATACTATATGTTTCTAAGCAAGACATGCATAAAGTAATTTTTCTATCAGATCGCGGAGGTTTTACTATCCTGTCAAGTAATATTTTAGTTACCAAAAATTAGACGGAACCAAGAGTTTTTGTTGGATGGGTGACCTTTTTTTGTGTTTGTGTTGAGCTGTGCTATGCAGGCCGTTGTTTCTTGTCTGACCTTTAATTCAAACTGTGATTTATCTTCTCTTACAGAATGAAGTGCCTTCATTACTGTGCTGGTTTTGTTGTGTCAGGTGATGGGGTGCACATTTTTATGCTGCGTATTTACTCAAGTCTCCAATTGCGTATTATCTAAATCTTGAATTGAAAATAAGTCTTTGTTAATTGTCATTTAATTTGAGAAAAAAATAAGAAATTGGAGAAATGTATAGCCTGTTAGAGCTCTTTGAGTTTAGTGGCATTGAATTGTTAAATTTACCAAAGATTTCTACAATTCAATGTGATTTATGACTGAATGACGTCATTTGATTCTTGACAGTGACTGTAAATTGAAAAAATTAACCTTGAAAAAAAAAACGTTGTGACATCACCGTCCAACAATACATGTAAAACGTTGAGGAAAATATAAGAATTAGCTTAGAATAAATTAAATTCTATTTATTGGGGTAAACGAGGGTTCGGGGCATTGTAAAGACTGCTGTTGAAATCGTACTGTACAACATTATTAAAGTTGCAAGTTTGCACAATCTCAGTTTGGTGTAATGACTTATCAACCTTACAGTTACAATATTTATATGGTTGTATCGACATAATGACTAAATGTAAATTGTGAAATGAATGTAGCTCCAGCTTGATGCATACAAAAGAAAAAAAACTATTCTCTAACCATTTTGACCAATTTTAAAGAGATAATATATCAATGTTGTGTTTACGGGCTTGTTTCTGCTGCCCCCTAGTGGCTAGAAAATCAGATGAATATTAAGGGACGTTTTTCTTTTCTGTTTAAAATATATTTTGTGATTCTAAGGGTGCTTTTATTTAAGATACAGTGTTGAAAGGGGAAAATAGAGGGTACAAAAACCTATATAACACACTACAGGAAAGGGAAAACCCAAATAGGACCCCTTTAAATTGTGAAAATGTACTGTAATGTAAAACAATTCAACAGATGCTACAGAACGGCTAACTTGCATTGTTAAGTTCAATGTGTTTTATTATACATGGTGCATTTAAGGCCTTTTAATCAAGAAGACACTACTTCAACAAAGGGTCGAGCTTCTTTGTCTGCAATGATCTGCAGATGTGTTTATTGTATGAATATGAACTGGTTAATGAGCAACCAGAGGCGCTAAGCAGCATGTGATATCTTGATGTGAACTTTTAGCTTCCGCTTACGTCGCAGCGACTTTAACTGCAGCAGTGGATTAGGCATTACAGAGCCTTGTCCTACTCCTTCTCCTGTGGAGGTTTTATTTCTCTTTTCCCCAGATATGTGGGGACTAAAGTTCACCACGTCGTTGAAATGATCATATTGTCATAATGGAGCCCAGGTTTGGATCTAAAAATGAAAAGCCGTGGTCGAAGGTAAGAGAAACTTTAACCAGCAGTTACGTAACAATCTGATTGTTTTTCTAGATTCCTTGGTAGAGATTTGTGTATACTAATCATCCATGACGCTTACTGCAACAGAAGAAGACATTTTTGTATCTGTTTGTTTCAAGGTTATCCTTCTCTGTAAAAGCAACCAACCCACAATGCATTTGTCTTTACCTAGTGTTTGACTACACTTCCACACTCTGCAAACACTCTTCTTCACGTCCAATTCTACACATCACTTTGGATACAGCGCGTTAACACAACCCCACTTTCAGCAAACATATTGAAAAACAAAAGCTGCCGATGCCTCGTCTGTTCGGAGATCAAATCCCTGAACAAAACCTTCAATAAGATCCAGCGTTGCTCCTCCAGTGACCGTGTGAGAGGGAGAGACTTATCCACAGAAAGCCTCTGATGCCTTTCCAACAGCACAAGGAGATGCTTGAGTCCAATTCCCCCATCTGCTCGTTGTAACCGTTGTGAAATACATAATTGCTGTCAAGCGGCTCCTGATATGCACACTGAGCTGAGAGGGACGTAATCACAGTTACTATGTGACTACAACACAGTCAGAAGAGAGAGGCTTGAGTCCTTCTCCATTCATCCTGCTAGTAATCCAACATTTTATAAAACGTGACAGTAATCTGATTTATTTTATGACCTCTAAGAGAATACACTTTTTTTTGTATCCTGATAACCAGAGATGTTAAAGTGCACACATCCTTTACTCAAGTAGAAGTACAGATACTCGTGTTTAAAAATACACGTAGAAGTGTATTAAGTTAAAAGTAGAAGTACTGACTAAACTTCTTAACTCAAGCAAAAGTAAACTTTGAAATGTACTTCAGTAAAAAGTACCCATAACTAGCAGCTGTTTTAAAGAGTACCTGACCTCCCTTTATATCAATAGAACAATAATGTCATTGTTAGCTAATGAATGTTTCCATGCTGAACAACGGCAACATGACAACGTTTCCATTGGTCCCTCTTCTTTAGAGAAGACCAGGAAATGATGGATACACGGATCGTGTTCAAATCAATAGGCACGCAATGACTCTAAATAATAATGATCACGCATCAAACACACATTCAGACTAAAGGAACCAGCTGTTTGGAGAATGAGAGAAGTAGAAAGTACAGGTATTTGAGTTCAACATGTAAGAAGTAGAAAGTACAGGTATTTGAGTTCAACATGTAAGAAGTAGAAAGTACAGGTATTTGAGTTCAACATGTAAGAAGTAGAAAGTACAGGTATTTGGGTTCAACATGTAAGAAGTAGAAAGTACAGGTATTTGTGTTCAACATGTAAGAAGTAGAAAGTACAGGTATTTGGGTTCAACATGTAAGAAGTAGAAAGTACAGGTATTTGTGTTCAACATGTAAGAAGTAGAAAGTACAGGTATTTGGGTTCAACATGTAAGAAGTAGAAAGTACAGGTATTTGTGTTCAACATGTAAGAAGTAGAAAGTACAGGTATTTGGGTTCAACATGTAAGAAGTAGAAAGTACAGGTATTTGAGTTCAACATGTAAGAAGTAGAAAGTACAGGTATTTGTGTTCAACATGTAAGAAGTAGAAAGTACAGGTATTTGTGTTCAACATGTAAGAAGTAGAAAGTACAGGTATTTGTGTTCAACATGTAAGAAGTAGAAAGTACAGGTATTTGGGTTCAACATGTGAGAAGTAGAAAGTATAGGTATTTGAGTTCAACATGTGAGAAGTAGAAAGTACAGGTATTTGGGTTCAACATGTAAGAAGTAGAAAGTACAGGTATTTGAGTTCAACATGTAAGAAGTAGAAAGTACAGGTATTTGTGTTCAACATGTAAGAAGTAGAAAGTACAGGTATTTGAGTTCAACATGTGAGAAGTAGAAAGTACAGGTATTTGAGTTCAACATGTAAGAAGTAGAAAGTACAGGTATTTGGGTTCAACATGTAAGAAGTAGAAAGTACAGGTATTTGAGTTCAACATGTAAGAAGTAGAAAGTACAGGTATTTGTGTTCAACATGTAAGAAGTAGAAAGTTCAGAAGTGTAAAGGAGTAAAGTACTGATACCAGAAAAATGTACTTAAATACAGTAACAAAGTATTTGTACTCCACTACTTCCCACCTCTGCTGATAACCTAATCCTGTTACATGTCATCCATTACTCCCAAGTCAGTTTCTCCTTTTAGAAATACCTTTTTTTTTTAGAGGAGGGGCGATGCACGGAGAGGCGTATTTAAGGTTGTTGTACTGTAAATATTGAGGCAGGAAATTGCAGGTGTGTTCTAACCTGGGTGTGGAAACAAATAGAGTCAGCCCTCTGTGATACACGCACTCAGCTCTCACACCGGAGGGGGAAGCCAGCTGTACTTCACTGCACAAAGTCACTAATTCACCTGTAACCTTGTAGGAGAGGCCTTCACTCTGCCAGACGCAACACAAGGTAAGATCCCAACCCATTTTTTGTTGAGATAATATCTTTAAAACGGGCCTTTAGCAGTGTTTTTTAAACCCTACATCATGACATTAGCACACATTTAGAGGAATAACAAAGCTCATTGTGTTGAGTGAATACACACGGTTAATTGAAGAGGAACCAGTCTTTCTTGTCGCAGTAATGGAAGCTGGTCTTCATTTCATCTTTCATATACAGTATGTTGATCTGGATCATGTTGCACAGCACAATGGATGCTTTTCATTCACAACACAAGGGAGAAGCCACAGACGAAATATTGAACAACTAGCATAAACAGCTGTTCAGTCAAGAAAGTGAGTTGGTTAATTGAAATAAATCAATTAAGGGAACACCGAGATGTCAAAATGAACATATTATAACATTGAGATAGTAAACTAAGTAATAAAAGTCAGTATTTATAGTATGTTTGCTTTGAATATTAAGTATTTTATGTGTACAGATTTGTTTTAATGTGTGGACAGAGTTGGAAGTATCCTCTAGTTAAGTAAAAGTATACATCCTTTGGTCTTAAAATACTCCATTACAATTAAAAGTCGTAAATTATTAAGTATTATCAGCTACAAGTCATAACTAAGTACCTAATTATGCATAATGGCTCTTTTCAAAGTAGTATCTTATTATAGAATATGATATTATTGTGTTTTAATCGCTTAAAAATCACTTCCAAGTGTTGTAGTTTGTCAATTTTTAGCCCATTTTAGATTTTCTTTTAAATACTGGGTATATAAGGAGTACATTTCCCCTCCGTGTAGAGAAGTCATGGGTGTGTCCTCCTCCAGAGAACAAAAGGAAATGGTCACCAGATATTTGTGCCGGTCAATGAGCAACTCCCATTATCATTTCAAATCTAATTTTATCAATTTGAACCGGATTAAGTGTAGTAATAAACATTTTATGTGTTGTAGTAGAGACTTAGCCTCTGCTGTTACATAATTGTTGCTGTTAATGCGACATAATCTTGCTTTAAAACTGTAACTCTTATATTAAGTGGGATATCGTAGTATGCCAAGCCCTATCACATTATAAAATGTGTCACCTCTGTGTCACCCTTTATCTGATTCACTGAAATCCAGAGGCTTGATAATATTAATGAAGGGTGTGGTTAACATCCTGCTTACTGACCTGTATCACCTCACACAACCTCCATCAATCACCACTCAGTTATTTTTGGAGCAAATATTATATTAGCCAATGAATTATAGCTTTCTCTTAGGAATAACTCCCACATCTTTTTGGACAGCATGTATGGATCCTGTGTTTGTATTCATGATATGTAGCCGGTAGCATTTCACAAGCCTGTTTCCATACAGCGTTTCACCCCCAAGCCCTCTGTATATTCTCAGCTCGGATGGAGACGTTAGCTTATCAGTGCTGTTGTTCCTCATATCTGAGTCAAGAGGCGCTGATTGCATAACTTGTATCATGCTGAGGCGCCAGGCTGACACTCATTAGGAGGATTAGAGGTGTTTCCTCTGTGAGATCCAATCTGAAATGCTTCACTCCTCACTTAGAGACATCTGTTTCCAGTGAAAAGAGGGAAAGGATTAGCAATTAGAAAGATTCAAAATGTATATTTTTCTGTTGAAGTAGTTTCGAGTACTTGTTATTGAATATGTGTTTCTGTTGAAAGTTCTTACACATACTTTTTAGCAAATCCTACACTTTTTGAGCATTTCACAGGGCATCTTTTTGGT